TTTTTTAAAACATATATTGTGGCAGTCATAAGGAGCACACACGATTGACTGTAAACACGTCTTTATTCCACGACTGCCGACAAGTGGATCTATTCTGAACAAGGACAGAATAGTGTCCACCATAATATTTATTAAAAGAAAAATAAATAAAAGTCCGCGAGAGAGAAGCCCGACCCGAACCTGTTTTACTTCCGCATTCCTGTCGTTTTGGTCCGGAGCAGAAATTGCACGTGTGACTGCAAGTGGAGCTGCTTCGACGCTGCGCCGGAGTTGTCAGCTCAGCGGCTTTGCACGTGTGAACGCTCCACAAAATTTGCTCCGGTGTAAAATATATCGCATCAAAATACTTCGGTGCAGCGTCGGAGTAAATCTTGCCGTGTGAACAGGGCTAATGTGGCAAAAAAAAAAAAAAAGCAAGGCTCTTGAAGAGCACTTGCTGCCTACTCGGGCGCCATCTTGGAGAAAAAAAATCTGTGTTGTGTTATATTATTTTGTCATTTATGTTAACTGTTCTGTTGATGGCGGCGCGGGCAGCTGCAGCGGCTCCTCTCTCTCCTGTGGTTGAAAGACATTTGTTGTATGTTGGACATCGAGCACGTTTGGCAAAGTTGACTTGAATTTGAACTCAATCTGGCATCGTTGTTGACGTGGTTGCCATGAAGTACTGTGTATGTTTTTCGAATTGTGTGCAACACGCTGTCATGTTAGGATTACTCTCTGGCATATCATGTGGCTTAAAACTATTAAAAACTTGAATTCAGAAATTCTTTTGCAAGTTTCTTTACACATTCCTGGTCTGTTCACGAGAACTCCCGGCATACTTGTGGACCCTTGAAGGGCTCAATATGAAAGGTATGGTATCTGGAATATTCAGTCGTGCTTACAAGTTTTTCAAGATGTGAGCCGTCATTTGGCTTATTTCTAAGCAATACAAACAGCAAAGCAACACATGTCGGGAGATAACCTAATACCTATGCATATATTCATTCTCTGCGAAGAACAGATAAAAGCATCTTAGCAACTTTGTATGCCTCCACGTAGCTATTGTATATCTGCATTGTTGATGTAATCTTGTTTCATTTGAGGCAGTTGAGAACAGATTGGTCCTGGTCCAATAAAAGGAAATCCATTTAATTGTTGCCGTTGGTACATTCAGAAGGCAAACATGTTTCTCTTGTCCAGTGGCTTCGGTGTGATGCCGGATCAGAGTGAAACACCAAATCGGCAGCAAGAAATAAATACATCAAGACGTCTTAAAATATATTACTATGGAAACTGAGTTTGGACTTTGAAAAATAAATAAAACAATATAATTACAAAGTGATGAGCTAAGCTCTCGACCTCAAAGTGGAAGCTGTCGGTCTGCAGGCTCACACCACAACATGCAGCAACTTAAAGTGACATCACGACAGCTTTCTAACCATGCTTCCTAGGAGGGGGGCGGGGGGGTCAGAGGTTAAGGGCGGGGCTCAGAGCAACAGGTTGAGGTCTGCCAGCAACGCGTCCACATCGGCGATTGGATCCCTCCAGTAGTTGAAGGAAGAAAACTCGCTCAGCTCCTCCTCCTGCACACAATTCATCGTCATTGCAAACACGTGTGACCTTCGACCTCAAATGCAGTGATGTCCGACCAATTATAACATGTTGTGAGAAATCAGGTGCAGTGAGGGAAATGTATTCTTTTCAGGGTGTTGCTGATATTTGGCAGGACAAAAATAGTTCTCTGTTCACAAAGATTACCATCAATTAATGTGCATCCACAGTTACATAAACGGTAGAACGTAAATCTGTTAATGTCTGATCTGGGGGTCTCACAATCAATGGATTAATTCGCAACAACTGAATTGATCATCGAATTAATCCGAGGCTGTCTTTCCATTTGTTGGTGATGCTCGTAGTAGAGAAGCTGGTTTTGTTTTTTTGAAAGTAATATCGTGGTTTGGAGTTTCTGGTGCACAAACGTAAAAGGATAATCCACCTTTGTTGTTCAAAACTGTTGGCAGTTTTTTGCATACGTCACAGGAGAACTGGGACGACCATGTTGCTTTTGGGGTCAGATGGAGTCACAGCGCCATCCAGTGGACAAACAGTGCAAGTCCATCCATCCATTTTCTAATCTGCTTATCCTCACAAGAGTTGGGGGCGTGCTGGAGCCCATCCCAGCCGTCTTCGGGCAGTAGGCGGAGTACACCCTGAACCGGTTGCCAGCCAAGGCACAGACAGACGAACAACCATTAGTGCTCACAATCACGCCTAGGGAACAATTTGGAGTGTTCCATTAACCCATGGCTCGTCTTTTTGGAATGTGAGAGGAAACCGGAGCACCCAGAGAAAAGCCACCGTCATATTTTTCTCATGTCAAATATGTGACTAGGCTCAATAAACATTGGCAACTAACTGCTCTTAGGCCGTGTCTTTAGTCCCGCCCACTCACATGCTGGTCCCGTCCAATCAGGTCGTCACGGGCTTGGTTGCGAGGTCCATCGAGCAAGCCCAGCTCCCGCAGCTCGGAAAGGTCCAGGGCCGGGATGGGTTGCCTCCAGAACAGGAACGAGTCATACTGGCTGCTCGATTTCTCCATCATCGTTAACCTGGAACACAGTCGAGCGGTCGCCAGTAAGATGGGGCCTATCTCACTTTGGGCGAGAGGCCGCATACACCGCGATTGGTCGCTAGCCATTGTGAAGGTACATACTTTATAAATAAAGGACTGGCCTGTTGGTAGTCGATCGTGGGTCGTGTACTTAAAAACAATGGACTGGTCGTCAGTCAATTGCAGGACAAATATAGTGAAATGATGAACTGGTCACCAGTCAGCATCAACGCACATTTAGACAACTGACAGGCACGCACAGACAAAAATTAAATGACCACCAACCAATATCAGGGAAAACCAAGACAAATAATGCGCTTGTTGCCTGTCAATATCAGGGCACATATGCCCAGTTTTATTTATTGATCAATCAATCAACAAAAGGCAACCAAATAATTTAATGGGCTAAGGAACATTTCAGGGGGGTTTCAGCGCCCCTAAAACAGGACTAACGACGCCATTTGCACTTGTATACAAAAAAATGGTCTTCACTCAATAATACGCATATTATTAAAAAAAAAAAAAATTAAAAAAGACTCGTAGCACGGCAATGTCGAGGTGCAGTCCCATTCA